TCTTCATTAGCTACGGCTATTGGAGGTAGTTGGCGACTTTAATAGTATAAAGGGTAAAGTTCTCATATTTTAATTTTGTTTCTGTGACTTAAACACTCTGCATGTTTTGTGGTAAATCACAATTTCTATTTTATTTGAATCTATAGATGGCGGGTGAGAAGGCAGCCAGTGAGAAGAAGCCTGGCGAGAAGGCGCCCAGTAAGAAAAAGACAGCTGAGAGGAAGCCAGCTCAGCAGCCGGCCAGCCAGAAGGACGGTGAGAAGAAAAGGAAACCTAAGAAGCATCATGCCAGCCGTAACCCTGCCCTGGCCCGGGGTATCGGGAAATATTCCCGGTCAGCCATGTATGTCAGAAAAGCCCTGTACAAGCGCAAGTACACTGCTCCAAAAACAAAGGTAGGATGATAAATATTGTGTTTAAATATTCATGTTCTTCATAGTGACTTTGGTTTGAAACTTTGTACGTCTTCCCTTTTCTTTGCCTACAGATAGAAAGGAAAAAGAAAGCAAAGCCACGTGCAACCATCACCAAGCCAGTTGGTGGAGACAAGAATGGAGGCACCCGTGTGGTTAAAATCCGTAAAATGGTAAGAATGAGAACTCAGACACTCACAATTTAAGGCTGTTATGTGTAACTTGATTCCATAATGTGCCTCTTGGTTGGGGTGATGTAGGAGCCTGAGCTGAGCTGCTGGCAGTTATCTCCTCGAGATCCAGACCTGGTGGTTGTTGTGCTCGGAAGAGGGGCGTCGAGAGGCGAGAGTACATTGTTCGTATTGCCATGCTGAACTGGAAGCCTGTGCAGAAATACGGAGCCGGTCTCAACTTTTGCTGCTGCATAATTGTGCAGAAAATACTGGGTGTGTTTGTGTTCCTGTAGTGTCAGTTGCAGCAGAAAATCCTTCAGAAAGGTCATCTTTAGGGGAAAAAAATCTGAAAGCTTTCTGTCCTGTGGACAGGACGATTCAACATTTTGCTTTTCTTTTTGTAGCCCAGATACTATCCCACCGAAGATGTTCCTCGCAAGCTTTTGAGTCACGGCAAAAAGCCCTTTTGCCAGCACAAGAGGAGGCTGCGGGCCTCTATTACTCCGGGGACCGTTCTGATCCTTCTGACTGGTCGTCACAGGGGCAAGGTAATCACGGGGCTTTTCCTGTCAGCTCTCACTGCGGCTTTACCGCATTTCTGTGCTGAAACCATTTTGACTGAGCAGAAGTATTGTGAATTTTACCCAGTGATTTCACGGGATGCCGCTCAGCCACAAGATGCAAATTTGCTTTTCAGTGAATTCTGTCTAGACGCTTCCTCTCATCCTGTTTTTGGAGGAAACAGTCTTTAAACTAACATTGTTCTACACAGAGCTGGAAGTAAAACTGGCTAGTCCAGTTGATTAGAAAAAATGCAGAGAGGCTCACTGTAATGTAGAAAGTGTGCAGGTTCATGTCGTGCTAACTTTGCACAGCAGACCTGGTGCTTGTTTGTAGTACTGATGCAATAAGGACAAAACTTTGTCTTAGACTAGCCATTGCAAAGGAAGAATTGCATTTTTTTTCTTAATCTGATTGCCGTCGGTGAAGATTCGCTCTGATGGGCTTTGCTTAGCCTTGAATGGCAAAGCACATGGGGAGTTGCGATGTTGTGGGTGAGGTGACTCTGGCAAAGCTGCGCGCTTGGAAGCATTGGCAGCTCGGCTCCTGCGGTGGTTCCCTCTCGAGTTGCGCCTGTGCTGTGAACGCTGACACCAGTTAACGGGCCAAGGGTGGGCATGGTCCCAGTTGCAGTATTTTAAAGTGCTGGGACCTGAGGACTGATGTCACATCTCGTCTCTTTTCAGCGTGTCATCTTCTTGAAGCAGCTTGCTACTGGCCTTTTGCTTGTTACAGGTAACAAAGCTTTTCCATTAAGTGGGATGATTTGTTTGGTTGGTTGGTTTTGAGGGAGGTTGTATTCCATCAAAATTTAACTGAAAAGCAGTGGTAGTTGCCAGGAAAGCTAACTCTGTTCTCTCTTCTGCCTTTCCTCTGCCTTTAGGACCCTTGGCTGTCAATCGCGTCCCTCTGCGTAGGGCCCATCAGAAATTTGTTATCGCTACATCTACAAAGGTTGATATCTCTGGAGTGAAGATTCCCAAACATCTCACTGATGCATACTTTAAGAAGAAGAGGCTGCGTAAGCCCAAGCACCAGGAAGGCGAGATCTTCGACACTGAGAAAGAAGTAAGGAACAGGATTGTTCGTTCTTTCTGAATGTCTTGGTTACCTGCAGCCAGCCTGGGAAGGGGGAAATACCATGAAACAAAGTGATAACTGAATTTTAAGTGGTCCTCAGTACAGTGAGGTAATGTATTTAAAATTTATTAATACAACAGCACTCAGATACTGCCCCCTCTTAAATGTGGGGATTATTTTGTTTCTGCCTTAGCAGAACAGCAGCAGTGATTAATATTAAATGTCTTTTTGACCAAGAAAAACCTTTACTGTTTTGATATTGCCAACAACATGCTGCTGGCTCTGCCACCTGCAACGTGAGCCAAATGGTGGCTTCAGTTCTCTCTCTCACCTCCGGTCTCCTACCACATTGCCCATATTTAGAACAAACGGAGAAAAGATTTCTTGAAAATGCTGGAGCCTGGGGTTTGCCCTGAATTTTCTCATTTCCACAGAAGAGTCTGGAGTCACTCTGCTGGATTTTAACATTATTCTTTGTACTTTCTAGAAATACGAGATAACGGAGCAACGCAAGTCAGACCAGAAGGCAGTGGATTCGCAGATTCTTGCACGAATCAAGAAGGTGCCTCAGCTCCGCGGGTACCTGCGTTCTACATTCTCTCTCTCAAATGGAGTCTATCCTCACAAGTTGGTGTTCTAACTGCTCTGAAAGCACCACATTAAATTCGAAGGGAAAAAAACGAGGATTTCTGGTGTCTTCATTGCGATCTGTAGTGGAATGTGTTGCACCGATCTTGGAATGTGTATTATATAAAGAATGGAGAAACCACGTGTGGCATGAAATCCTGTAGATGACGTATTTTGAGTGCATGAGGAATTGGATGTGAGGATTTTGTCTAGGTGGAGGTGTTGGAGTTGGTTTGTTTGGGTATTTTTTCCTATTCAGTATAACCAGAAAGGAAATAAGTACTTGAATTTGAGTGTTCTTAACCGAATAAGCTGGGGCAGGGGGGAAACATCGGGTATTTTGGGGAAAGAGTATATACATACTCGGTTGACTACCTGTCGTGACATGACTACCCTTCCAGAATAAACATCCAGCCCAGTGTCTGTGCTGGGGCATTTCTGTGCCTTACTGTGCTGAAACCAGCGCTTCAGGTATCTGGTGAAGAACCAGGGCTTGGCAACAAACCACTGCTGGGTAACTCATTAGCATTTTAAAGCTTGTGCACAGCTTTGTTGAGATGATTTTTCTGACGAACAGCTTTGATCCATCAATCACCACGCAAACCTCAGCAAATATAGCAACGTTTTAAAGGTGTTTCAGGAGTTGTGTCTAGCGTTTTGAAGTGAATACCACTGAGGACGCTCTGGAGTTTTTGCAGGGTAACTTATCCGGAACCATAACAAAATTTGAGATATCTGTCTCTCCGCAAATCCCATATATTTTTTCCTGTTCTTTGTTTGCCCATGTGGCATGTAATTTTTAGTCTGAAAGAATACCACCCACGTAGATCAAAGAGCAAAAACATGATTCTTAATTCTGTAGTCTCAGAAATCAGTTAAAAACCAGAAACAGTTTCTGGGAAAGGCACGTGCTTTTCTATTCGGGGAGACTTCCGGAGTCTCAACCGTTTTTCCTATCTCAAAAAGAAAGCGAGTTGAGAAAGTTAGTCCTGTCTGTTTTGTTTTTCTCTTAAGTGTGGTTACCAGATACCTGGAAGAATTTGCTTGGGTAGTAATAGCTCTGCTCTTAAAAACCTGAGGATGTACATATTAACAAATCTGGCATGCTTGAGCTCTTTCTTAGCCAGACTTAGGCAGGAAGCAAGGCTTATGTAACTGCACCATCTGTCTTCCCATTAATTCTTTGCTGAAAGTAGCCAGTGGGGTCAAGCTTGATGAGGAGTCGAGATTTCATCAAATACATGCAACCTTCAGGAAAAGGAGATAGAAGAGGGAGTAGTACAACCCTTGCAGAGGTGGAAGTCTACATGTCCCATATTAGCCATGTTCACTGGGAAGAAGAAATCGGGCTTTGAGTGTCCAAAGCCAATGAAAAAAATTCTCAAAATACTTGAGGGGGAGTCTTGCACTGAAGGGCTGTGGTCGTCTTTAGAGCTGATGCAGGCTGGTGTTGAGTATGGAAGTAAATAGCTCTCCCGCCATCTTCCTCTTGATAATTAATATATTAAATATTGAAGGGAGCCAGTGAGCAAACTTGGTCGTGTTGCCGAACTGGCTGGATGCAGTCTCACCTTCCTCTAGGCTAGGCTCTGCCCTGGGGTGCTCCGGAAAGATGTCCTTTATTTTTTTTAGTGTCGTTGGAACTATGTCTGTGATGAGTTACATCATCTGTTGCATGGGGTTTGGTTGGATAATGGGTATACTCCGAGATTTCTTAAGTTGACCTGAGATTTTACTGCAATAACGGGACTGGCCTGTTTGCATAAATCAGCTCTAAGGAGATACAGAAGTACAGCACGTGTCTCGCCACTAGTACTAAGATAAGTTTATTGATAATACCAACGAAAGAGCTTAACTTTCTCAGCCTATTTGAATTAAAGGAAAAAATGTACGTGGGAACACTTAAATGGGAAAAGTCCAAAAACAGCAAGTAGACCTCTTGATCAAAATAGTTTGTAGCAACACGTGATATCACAAAGTCTGCAGACAGATTTGGTAACGCAGCTGTGTTCTAAGAGATCGCTTAAGAGAGCTACTAGGGCTACAGTCATTCCCTTCCCCTCTGGGAGTGAGGAAGTCATAATAAAATAGCCTGATGGGCTAGTCTAAGAATAATGAGGCATTTTAGATACAGTGGCATTTTTTCTAATTACTGACTACTGTGCCACAGTCCCCATTGATGTGTCAGAAGACATGAAATGATACTTGGAACCATTAACCTTGTTAACTGATCGAGCGGAGGCTTTGTCTCCCGGTGTGCTGTCAGGAAGTGATGTGGTAATCGAGTCTGGTGTCTTGACAGGTCCTGGCACGGAGAAATGGTCTCACGTGCTGCCATCGCCTCCCTCACCCCAGTCCTGTCACTCTGACTGGGCGGTGACCAGTAACGCAGCCCTGCAAGGTAAGGAGAGGGAGGGAGGGATGAATATTTTTGTGCTGGTGTTAGATCCCTAAGCTGAGTCACTGTGAGACCAGATGAATGTTGGTGTCGGCACAAAGGGGCGTGGGAACAGGCCTGCTTCTGGAGGCGCTAGCTGTTAACTCAGATTTTAACACCAGATCATGCCTTCAGAGTGCCAAGCAGCTCCTCAGGCTTTGCGGCAGAAAATGGAGATGGCAAAACCCTCATCTTTCATGAGGAGAGGCAGCCAGTGGACAGCTGTGATTTGTCTCTCTCTTAACCTCTAAAATATTTTCCTTGAGTTCCGTGAAATCCGGCTTCTTTCTAAAACGCTCTAGGGTGGGGGATGGAAAAGAGGAAAAACAGGTACAGATGACCCAACACAGAAACAAAGTGGATATTCAGAAGGGTTTTTCAGTCTAGATAATACTGTCCACTACCTGAAAAATACTTCCACCACATAAAGAGCTTTTGTGTGCGTTCTCGCTGTCCCGCAGCTTTTCTCATTCTGAGCATGTAAACAGTTCTGCAGTCCTGGCTAGCTGAGTCATTGCTTTTCACTGAGCATCCCCCACAGAAGAAGCTAGAGACATCCAAAGCCTCAGTCACCCAATCAAAAGTGCTGGAGATGTGCAGGTCCAAAAATAGTGACAGACTCAACCACAGCAGCACTTCATTAGCATCAAATGTGCTCTTTGCTTCAGCTGCCTAATAAAGTGATATGTAATTATAATAAAGCATCCTTTTGAGAGGAAAGACGGAGGGATGTTGGCCTTCTCGGGGAATTGGTAATAAGATGCAATGCCTTATTATCTACAGGCACCTATTTTTACCAATTAGCTGCCTCTGTGGAATGACCTGGTGGATTCAGTCCAGCGCAGGGAGGCCGTGTCCCAGCTGCTGCGTTGGCCAGCAGTCTGGGGGAGGCAGCCACTAGACTGGGAGCTGCAGGAGAGACCGAGGCTTATTTGCAAGGCAAAGTTTGTGAAGAACTTTCCCTTTGGCACTTCAGCCAGCATGTTACAGCACTTTTACAAGACTACTATGCACACCGCTTTGCCAAGTGTTGAGGAAAATGCGTCAGATGTCTGGTGATCAGCTACTCGGTTCACCTACAGGATACCTATAGGATGAGCCTTGTGGCACAGCCGAACCTTTTCTCAACAACACATTTCCACCTGGTCCCTGCCTTGCCTCTCTGTGTAGTTCATCAAACTATTGCCACTGGTATACCCAGCCCCGGTTCTGCAAAAAAGGCATTCTCCCCACGAGCTCAGTAAAGATTATATAGAATCTGGGGACAGTTTCTTTGTCTTCATCACCTGCAAGAAGCTCTGCTTTAGCTCATAGAAAATGAAGGCAAGATCAGCTGAGAAACAGTTCGTAGAGAAGAGCTGGCCTAGGCAGCCTTCCTCTAGCAAAAGCTAGATAGCTCCTTCTGCGTTTCTCCCAATGCTGACTCCCATCTCATTTAAATTATTCAGCTATTAGAAAACCCATCCAATCGATTCTGCTAACAGAGTTTGTTCCAGATTCTCCGTATATTCTTTCAGTACATTTTGTTTCTTGTCTTTCAGTGAAGAAGGCTTCCTGTTTTCTCCTTATTAAAATAAACTGGGGTTTAAGATCAAAACCCTTCTACAGAGTTTTTCTAACCAGTGCTTAAAACTCCAGATGAGCAATCACCCTGCTCAGCCTAAAACTGGGCAGCGGTGTTCAGCCCCGGCTCACCATGAAGGCACTGTTACTGAGGTCTCTTAAAGTTCCATTGGGATAAGAGGTGACGCCGCTTCCCTGCGCTGTTCAGGGGATTGGGCAGCACATCAATTTACAGGTATCACTGGATCTTAACGATTTTATCGGCTCTGTTGCAAGACGGACACGTGGGCAGCTTAGTCTAAGAGATCTAGAACTACGTAGGACTCATGTAAACTCCACCGTGCTTCCTTCCATCATTCTTGTCCTGAAGTAGCAGGTCCCATACGTGACATAATTGTATGGGAACAGCACCAAGAGCTCCTGCTCCTGTTCTGGTTAGGAAACACCCTGTGGAGTTCCCAGTGACTTGTGTGGGAATGGGAGGATGCAGGAAAAGGGGAGCTATTTACCTGTTAATTGGGTTTCTCTGGTTCCCCTGCATTATGGTCTGCACTAAGCACCTGACAACTCATTGTTTAAGCAATTAGAGCAATTAAATCCATATTTTTTATAAGGATTCATAATATGTCTTACTGGATTTTTAATTCGTCGTTCAGGAAGCCACTAATTGAACAAAGCGAGCCGGCCCCGCTGTCCGTAGTCAACATTTGCACTGAGTCATGCTGGAGGGTTGGTCTGTGATGGTTCTATGTGGAATTTGATACACTTGCCAATAAGCAACCATGACATTTCTTACTTAGTTGCTTTTTCGTAGTTTATTTGTTGTTTGCGCTTTTTTTTAAAATTGCACCAGCTTGGACCCTCTTGCAGAGGAGTCAAAACACACTTTTGTCAGCTGACTGCCTTTTTTGGCTTGTTTTTTCTCCCTTATTTCAATGTTTATCTTTCTCAGTGGAAATGACTTTACATGATAGATTGTACAGGCAGCCAGCAACTTCTGTGACCTAACCATGGTTCACACTATACCAGACAAAAATATTTATTAATAGCAAT